TGATTTTCCAGCATTCACTGTTGTCATATAGGAGGGCAGATGTCACGTAACAGTGCAGTACCGTTTTTCGTTTTTCTAGTGATCTTATTTTTCTGTGGTTTCTTTTGCACAGTTTGCCATTTGATGTCTGATAATGCCACCTTTTCTCTTTACCAAAGCAGGGCACTTTTAATACAATACGACAAAACTTGCTGTCAATAAGTGTCTGCACTAAAGGTCTTACCATCTTTCAGAACCAAGACGCCTTTCATATTCCACCAGACACTTTTGTAGATGGTGTTCCGGTCTTTCGTATTTGCACTGGTTTCTCGTTTCGTTTTTTTTTTTTTTTTTTTAATTTTCTTTTGGCCTGCAAATCCTGTTTTTCATCACCTGTAACAATAGATGAAAAAATGAAAGCTTGGCATTTTTCATTAAAAGACATTGTTTTTGGTTCTCAAGCAAAATTTAATAGAACCGAAATTCTTTCTTTGCAAGTTTCCTCAAATAAAAACTGAAATTCAATATTAAATACACAACGTCGGATAGAAGTGATGATAAACTAATTTTGAAGCCAGGTTCCTACCATTCAACGTTGGTTTTGCATTGGTTTGTTGACTCACCATTCATACCGGTGAAATACATAATTACTTTTCGAACACTAGAATACATACATTCTCTTTAACCTAGTCTTAAATAATTGTTGGAATTATCAAAACTCTAAGCGCTAATTGTAAAATTCGTCTAGAAAATCGAGATAACGTTTCTACATTATACAATCTGAAACTACTTTGGCTCGTAATTTTTTTAAAACTGTTCATTCGTCTAAGGAAAAGAATCCTGCATATTTTTTCGCCACTGATTACTTTCAATCGATTCTTAATTTTAGTCTGACCATAAATATAAGAGTCATTTTGGTTCATCATCAAGATTGTTCGATATTTCACTGGAAATATTATTCATGTCTTTTGTGAAGGAAATTATTAGAGAAGTGAAGCAAAGCATCTGGACGCAATCCTAATGTCGATTCTGTTGACTTGTTTTCCAAATATCTTTATATGCAATGTAGGAAGAGAACTCTATCAAGGCTGGAAAGTGATGATTGAATTGATATTGCATCAATTCGCCATCTTTCTTCCCTTTAAACTGTCATTCGTGAAGATGAAGCACGGTAGATGAATCTACGTATTTCTTGGAACGATATAGAATGAGCCCACTATATTTTCAGCATTTTTACCATTGGATCGTATGGTGCAAATTTGGGCCCCACTAGGCTTTCAAAGTATAAAGCAACCTTGAAAGTATAAGCGTTCAATTTGACTTGAGAAAATTCAAGAGCTGAACGTTGACGGTGAAATGATAAGAGTTTTTTTTTTAATCTGAAAATTGTAAGCCAGTTTATTTTCACGTTTGATCTCGGTCGGAAAAGAGGTCTGCTTCAAGATTCCAATTGTCTTGATTTTTGGAAGTGCGTATTATCTGCATAGATGAGTTTCCTGGAAGGATAGCTAATAAAAAATAAAAAAATATGGTAGGACTAAGGTGAGGGTCTTGCGGATGAGCTTCAGGAGAATGACCATTAAAAACATTTATGTATCTACTTGATAAAAAGATTTGATAATTGTGTAAATTCTTCCAGAGACGCCATAGCTGTGGAGTAGCAAGCCGCTATAACATATATTTCAAATTTCAAAGAGTTTTTATATGGTGTACTATAGGGTATTATATTACCTCTTCCAATCTGCTACACAGAACGCTTCTAGGACATACTTAGGGTTTTAGATCAATTTATCGGTTGTAACAGCAAAAATGTCCAAATCATGTAAGAGCAAAATTGTACATTTGTTAGATTAAGTTTGTATCTTAGAAATGATCGTTTTATCGCTGTAACTTAGAAATGATTAAAGATATCTTACTGGAATTCTCCGAGGTTTTTATAACACTATTGAATTCTACTTTGAACAATAATAATGTATTTAGATCTAAGTTAAAATGATGATCTATCTTCCTGTTGTGACCTCCTAATCCAGTTTTCCTCTGGGCTGCTCGCTCTTTTTTAAACTTATTCACCGATCTCTTGATGGTTCTTGAATGGACTTTGAAGATCGTAGCCAGAGTATGAATGTTAGTACTATTACTGAAGGCCCGGATAATATTTTTCCTCTCACTATTGCTCAGTTGGCAAGATATAGTGGGGTTAATACAAAAGGATTTTAACCTGTTCTCTTTCTAGCTGAATAACTTTTTTCAGTGATTTATACACCAAATGGTGTCAAGATGGCTAAATGTCTTATCTGGAGACCTAGAAAAAAGAAACCCAATTATTTTAGTGTTTTTTGTGAGATGGAAAGCTATCCCATGCTGTTAGATGATTTGGACAATTTTGCTGGTACACCAACTATACGTCTTTAAGAGAGATCGTCATGGAATGACTGAAGCATTTCTTCTGTCCACAAACAATTGTTTACGCCATTGATTGCCGGTCATATGCCCTAGGTCATATCATCTGAGACTATTTCGACTGGAGTGTGTGTTGAAAGTTTGGAGGTCAGCCATCTTCAGGAATTCTGTACGATGGATTTTGGCTTACCATTTCATGTAACGGAATCAGCAATGGTAATTCGAGTGGAAGTCTTTCAGTTGTTTTGACTTTTTACTTTACTAGAGATAATACGAGTCCCAGTGATACACAAAGGCGGGGCACCAGCAGCTGCTTGGTGGATCTCCAACTGTCTGTATGCCTGATTCATCTCTTATTTCTGCAAGTCTTCCCTCTACGAATTGCAACACCTTCTTTAACAACATTTTAGTTTACCTCTACGTCGATGCCGACACCATTCAGTATTCTTCAGTATGCTCTTATATGAACTCTCTTGCATTCTTGTAATTCGATAAACCTTTCGGTTATAATCAAGACCAAGATCAACTATGCAGAATAAATAGAATTTTGAAAAAAAGCATTTGTAGTTTTAACTTTGAATCCAAAGTCTCCTTTTACCAAGCACTATGACTTATTATTTCTTACCATATTTAATTCCGAACATTTGGAAAACACAAAGTCTCATAATAATAGTATAATAACTGACTAATATAGCTCGTATTCTACTAGGGCGGCTAGCCAATCCCTATTGCAGACGCTTGATCAGAAGCATTTGTGTTTATTCAACCCCGACAGAGCCCTTACTGCAACTATACTATATGTATGCATAATGGCAATATATATATATATATATATATATATATATATATATATATATATATATATAAAAAAAGGAAACCCAGGGTCACAAACTCACATCTATCAACCAAATATATATATATATATATATATATATATATATATATATATATATATATATATATATAATGTCAATTACTAAATTAAACAAAGTCAGATTAGAAAGGTAGGGATCTGTTGTGTCAAGCGTTCAAGTGACTTCAGAAATCAGCATTCAAAATGTAGAATTTATCTAAGTTGGAAACCTTGTGAGGAATATAGCATTCATTTAGCTAAAAAACCGGTTTTCCCGGGCAACATTGAATATAATTAAATACGTCAAAGATTAAATAATAGTAATTGAAAAATATTAAAATATTTTGCGAATTCA